AAAAACCATTGCATCTTGCTTGAATCGCTTCTCATTCTCTCTTTCTCATTTGGCCAGTTTTGTTCACTTGACTTGCCTACGTTTAACATCAATGTATAATTAGCAAAAAAATATTCATAAAACATAATTGATGCATGTGTCTTGAGCAAGAGAACAGGTTTTAAATTGATCAATCGAAGCAGTCACATGTCGAGTGTGCATGATCAAAATTATATATATGGAGGAAATAGTTCACCACCCTATGTATGTATGTACGTTGAACGTCTTTCGCACTGTACACAGCCAACCATGCTAATTGGACGTGCGAAATTGTCAGGATGTGTGGTCACGATGCGATACAGAAATCAATTTGGTTTCATTGTTGTCGAACTGCACGGATAATTATCTACAGTGATATAAACTAAGATGGATCAGAAACATATTAATTCTTTTTTCATTCTTACACATGTGGTTTGATGGAACACACGTATCTAGTCACGTGTGTAAGAATGTGATTTGATGTATCGTCAGCATGATAATTAAATGTGTCACATGTCTAGTAACATTACTACCTATGCGTGAGGTTGAATTATGACATCATGTACACAACTGATAATGTACATTGCACGTCCTCTGCGAGTGTACATAGTGTGTGTGTTTATGTGTCAGTCCGTTTTTAAAAAATTCTCTTCCCCAATTCTGTTCAAATTGTGCTCATTTTGTCATATGTGTGAAGAGATGAAGACATTTCTGTTTGGGACTCCCACAGAACAGTGCTGCACAGAACTACTCTTATCCACACTCGGGTGTGTGCCCTTTACCACGAACATTCCATTGCAGTCAAACTAAATCTTTTGATTCCAAGTACTGGGATTTAGCAAAATTTGGTTAAAAGTTCAATTTAACATGTGTTTTGTGCAGTCATTGATCACCGTGTTGAGACAATTGAGTAGCCGCCCTGAAGAACCCAGTTAGTTTGTTCAAACCCAAGTCTCAGTGGTGGTGGCTCAGTGTCTCCGATCCCCTGAGCCACCTGGCAACATTGGTAAGTCAGTGCTGTGGAATCGAGCACGGGTGAAATGCTGCGGCCTGACCTGTCATCGTTCCTGCCACTGTTAGAGTTGCCGACCCTGGGAAGAGAGCAAAGAATCAGTCAGACCAATTCCATGTGCTTCCTTAACTAGGAATTATCTCAGGCAGATTCATGAAACTGGCAAAGGTATATACAGAATATATTATAGAATCCAATAAAATGCATAAACGGTCAAACCGACTGGCAAGCAAGAACGTTCAAACTGCATGGTGCATACCGATTAGCAAGGATGGCTATGCATGGTGCAAAAGAAGTTCAACATACTGTACATACGTACAACCAGAACCATTGCCAACCACAAGAAATTACAAAATTATCCATAGCTCTACCAGCACCAAAAAAAACACCACCAGCACAACCACAACTACCAGCATCACCCCAGTAACCAGAACCACCAACAAATCCACCACTAGAACAACCACGATAACCACTAGCAGTACGACACAACCAGCACCACCAAAACCATTATAACCACCATAGCTACCAGCCTCACTGCCAGCACCGCAACCACCACACACTCACGAGGAACCAAATAAAAATATTTTTTGTTTCCTTAAAGGAGCCTTTCTTAAACCAAGGTGCCAGCACGTAAATTATATCATTCATCAAAAAAACCTTTAATACCATGCAGTAAGAAAAACAACCATGCATTTGGCGAGACTTATGTGAATCTTCATCTCATCATATCAAACATTGTTTCACGACAGGAACCACCAACAACAAAGCAACCGCCACCACCAAAACGGCACAACCAATAGAACCACCACCAGCAGCACCAAAAAGATCCCCCGTGTAGCCTTAAGACTGTTGTGCTGTTAGCGAGCACCTATGAAAGCCGGAACAGTAAGCAAGGGGTGGGTGGTCTGCACCACGCCCGGCCGCCTTTGTCTCACCAGTGCCGATGTTTACGACACACCGCTGCACCAGCTACTCATGCGAAGCCGAGTCGACCTAGGGAAGGCCCATTACCGATTAAGATAATCCTCACCGGTGTTGGCCGTGAGCGGGAATCGAACTCAGAAAGCCGGGTTCATAGCGCAGCGAGCTAACCGCTACACTCCCGCTCCCCACGACCACCACCAGCACGACCACCGCCAGCAGGACCACCACCAGCACGACCACCACCAGCACGACCACCACCAACACGACCAGCACCAGCAGGACCAGCACCAGCAGGACCACCACCAGCACGACCACCACCAGCACGACACCCACCAACACGACCACCACCAGCACGACCACCACCAGCACGACCACCACCAACACGACCACCAGCAGGACCACCACCAGCACGACCACCACCAACACGACCACCAGCAGGACCACCACCAGCACGACCACCACCAGGACCAACCGCCACCTCTTGCCAGCAGCAGCCGCCAGGGGCAGCCTTGCAGCGGCCGAGGACTAACGGCCGCAAGCGCCCCCCGGGGCCTTCCCGCGACTACCGCCCCAGGCGCGTCTCATACGGCGGAGGCGCTCAGGCAAGAGCGGCGCCATCGCCCCGAGCGCGATCGACCACCGCCTTCGTCGGCTCCTCGTCTCACCTCCTCGTCGTCGCCACCTTGGCCTTCTTGGGCTTGGCGCGCTTTTTCCTCGCCTGGATGGCCAACACTGCAACGGCAGCGAAACGAACAAGGACGCAGAGAGCGACAGCGGCGTCAGTTCGCCTCATTGCGACACTAACCGTTGCCGTTAACTGGCGTGGCTCAGTCACACGCTTCACGACGCCGGGCGCTTTATCGACCGCGGAGCGATGATTGGGCCCGGTCAACTCCCCCCTCTAACATGTGGAACGCGACCCCCTCAGCGTGACCACGACGACGCTCTTCGTTGGCCATTGTCTATCCACTGCTAGACGAAGGCCTCTTCCCCACGCCGCCGTTGCTAGCACCATCCATCGCAACTCGCTCCTGACACATTGATCCATCTCCACGGCGGCTGTCCTCTCTAGGATGCCTTTTCTCCTCTGGCTGCCACTCCCGTCACCAACTTGTTTATTGTTTTCACATCGTAGTCTAATTGCACGGCAGACGCAAAGGCGCGCGCGCGCGCACCTCGAGGTGAAACCCCCGAGATAGTTGCCATCTCCCCTTGTGGTTCCCCTCGGGATCCGTAGCCCCTAAATCCTTGGAACCTCCGAGCTCCCACGGCCCTTTGATCCCGCTACGTCCCTAGGCTCCCGCCGGCCGCGGTGAACGCGTCGCATGGTCCGTCTCGGGCTCCCTGCCGCGCGCGGCCTCACCTTTCCTGGAGCTCATGGCGACGATGATCCTCGCGTCTCTCTCAGGGCCGCTCCCCGACAAGGGCCGGGCGGATTAACTCCCTCGCTCTCGAGGGGTCCCCTCGCCGCGTGCGCTACCGCTCAAGGGTCCCCCTTGACGCCGGGCCCCTGGGGTTGGACGTGGCTGGGGTTTGAATGCTCACGAGGGGGGTGCCGACGACGCCGCGCGCGCGCGAGACGCGTTTCCGCCGCCGAGTCCGCACGTGGATCCGGCTTCGGGGGTGACTGGGGGGGGGGCTGGGGGGGGTTGCTGGGGGGGGGTGGCTGGGGGGGGGGGGCTGGGGAGGTGGCTGGGGGGGGGCGGGGGGGGGGACCCCGATACCGACCCCGGCCACGTGGGGGCGGCGGAGACTCCGACCGCGTGGTCGGGGGAAGTCTCCAATGGGCCTTGAGACTCTTGTGCAGCGAGGGCTCTTCACCAAACTGTGCTTATATTATAATTATTGGGCAATTGCAATTTTTTTTGGGAGTTTGGCTTCGTGTGAGATAAACCAGAGAACCTGGAGGAGAGCGCGGTTGGCTACGTACGATGCGAAAGAAGTTCAACACACACGTGCATACGTACATACACATGAGAGGCGTTACACCCTAGCCCTAGCTGCCACTGATATTCATTGGCGTAAAATAAAATAAAATGTTTTCGCTCCGGATGACGCTGCAAAGTATTATCTGTATTTTGATTTAGCGTGCTGATCTTAAAGGTGCATTGAAAAATTTGATACTCCGACTGATGCTTCTGTTGTTGTGGAGTAACTCATGCAGCCAGCTATGGCTTTAGGATTTGGTGTTACATGTTATTTATGTAGTTTATTGTAAAAATTCGGTCACAGTCCCTATGATCACTGTTACGTTGCAATTATGGCTTTATTTTTTGGTGATTTCGAAAACGTTTTTTGGTTTGGACATGTTTGTTTTGTTGTAGTACGTAGTTAGACTGATGGCCTTAATCTAAGTTTTCTTGTGGTTGTTGTTTGACTTGTATCCCACTGGGATTTTTTGCATACAGCGTTGGTGTACGGTGCTTTTTTCAGGAATATTATTTGCTGTTTTTCTTCATGGATTTTCTGTTTGCACAGTCACACATAGTCACTTTAAGATGTTTTTCTTGTTCCTGTTTTTGTTTTTTTGTTTGTTGTGGTTGCACCCGATTCAAGAGCCGAATGGCTCACAGGGCTATACCAAAATAAAGAAACTGAAAACACACGAAAAGCCCGCAACAGATGGATTCAATAATCCACGCGTTGCTATCGCCCGCCCATGCTTACAATACCGGGGAGGTCTTCGTGATCGTTAATCCAAGAAATTAAACAGGCCATGGTAGTAAAAGAAAATCAGAGCAGCAAATATGTCTACATCTGCCAAACAGACGAATGCCCCCAGGTGACTCTTGCAAATGAGCCTCTCTATCGTTGTGAGTTCGCGCCTGTACGAACAAACCCAACTTCGGGATGACACGGGCAGGCTGACTTATACTCTTTGGTTTTATTGGGTAAAGTCACGTAGGTAAAAAATAAAATAACAAAAATCACCTACGTGACTTTACCCAATAGAACCAAAGAGTATGGATCCTAGCAGTCACGAAAGCTTTAAATCTAGGCTGACTTATTTTGTGATTCCCCGCTCGGCTCGCGTGGTCCGCCGCCCCCATGGCGCTGTCGCCGACCGCTCCGCAGGTGGCGCTGTCGCCGCGACACCAAACACCGGCCCGGTGCACAAGGAAGGCCCTCGGCGGGGAGAGGCGAGACGGAGGAGGGAGGGAGGGATGATGATGATGCTGCTGCTGTTGCTTCTGCGTGGGTAAAGACGGAGCGAAGGCCCTGCCCGGGCAGAGACGGAGGAGACTGGGCCCGGTGGTGAAGCCCGACAGGGGACTGGATGAAGAAGGCCCGGGAGCGAGTGAGTGAGTGAGTGGAGGCCGAGTCGTAGTGATAGAGCCAGTGAGTGAATGTGTAGGCTCGATTGAGAGCGGTGTGTGAATGTGTGAAGCAAGGACATGCTGCTGGGAGTGATTGAAAACGCTGCCGCTCGTGTTTGAAGTCCCCGCTGGAGAGTGTAATGAGTGAAGGCCCGTCTCGAGAGTGAATGAAGGCCCCGGCCGTGAAGTGACCGAAGGCCTATCCTGGCGTGCACGACCACCGCGGAGAGACGAGCCATCCTCACAAGGGCAGAGTGCCTCACCTGAGCTGCCCCGAGGGTGATTGAGCTCAGGCCGTCCTCCTCCTCCTCACCGGGCCACGAGCGTCATGCCGCACCTGCCGGGCGAGGACGACCTTGCCCTGGAGCTCAAGCGGACCTTGAGCAACCCGGCGGTGCAGGGCGACCCCGCGCGCTACATGGCCGCGCTCAGGAGGGTGGTGGCCCAGACGGCCCGCGGCAGGGACATGTCCTCCGTCTTCATGGAGGTGCTGAGGGCCAGCACGGCCGCCGACCTGCCCCACAAGAAGCTCGCCTACCAGTACCTGTGCGAGTACGCGGCCCGCAAGCCCGACATGGCCCTGCTGGCCGTCAACTCCCTGCGCAAGGACTGCGCGGATCCCAGCCCCATGGTGCGCGGCATGGCCCTCCGCTCTCTCTGTGGCCTCAGGTGCGGTGGGCCGCTCCGTGGTCGGGCAAATAAATCATTCACCCTGGTCGTTAGCGCCATCGGAATCATCTGCACTGTATCGCTTGCATCGTCACCCAGGATGCGTCTGCCCTGGTCAGTGCACCTCTCATCGTCTGTCGAACGATCACGTGAATCAGTCATCACAATTGTCAGCATCTCACTCATCAATGTAATCTGAATCAGGTACCAGCTTCATCTGAATCATCAGCATCATCCGAATCGTGCACCCAGCACCGTGATCACCATTGTCCATGCTGTGTGGTATGACAACTTCAGTATATAAGCTCACCACTGGTGAAACAATCTTTGTAGTAGAACACCTCCCCCTGTGTGGGGTGTTAAAGCTCACCTCCATGTGGGTGATTACATCTGTGGTGCGACAGCTCACCTGATGTCACGTGGCAGCTTACCTCCATGGTGTGATACCTCACCACCGTGTGGTGTGGGATAGCTTACCAATTCTGCATGGTGACAACTCACCCAGCGTGTTGTGTTAGTGCTCAATTAGTGGAGTGTGTTACATTACCCTGTGAGGCGGGTGTGATCGCTCACCACCGTGGTGAGCAAATCTGTGGTGTGGTGAGACTCCTCGCTGCATGCGGTGAGCCTGCTCACTGCGTGTGGTGTGTGGCGGTGCAGGTTGCCGGACCTGGGTGAGTACGTGCAGGGCCCAGTGGCGAGCGGCCTGCGCGACCGTGCCGCCTACGTGCGCCGCACCGCCGTGCTGGGCTGCGCCAAGCTGCACCGCCTGCAGCAGCCCGACGCCGATATCGGTGCGGCCGCCACGCTCACCGCACCTCGCGTCACGAGATATCGCCACACTTTGTCACACCGGGATGCACCTCTCCACACGATCCGGCACCTTGCTCCATCTCACTAGACCGCCGCAGCTCACCATAACTCACCAGATCACGTAGCGCCAGAACACGCCGTACCTCACCTCGTTATCCCACACCTCATCAGACCTCACTGCACCATATCTGCATGTCACCACATCTCACCACACTTTTTATAACCACCACAGGCTTTGCAAGTAACACATCGCCATTAAACTAATTGAACATAAATACAACCATGGTCCAAATCGTCTCGGGTTGTACTGAACCTGATGCCACACTGGCCAATGTGTAATACAGGCCAACATAGCTCGCTGTGACTAGACACAACACTGGTGAGAAATCTATGCAGACTGACATAGCTGCGTATCTAGATATCACTACACTGGTGAACCAAGTCATACCGGCAGACATAGCCGCCACGACACCGGTGAACATGCTTCAAGACTTGACCCAGCTCACTGTGTCCAGACGCCACTCTGGTGAACGAGCTGTACGGGCTCCTGCGTGACAAAGACCCCGTGGTGATGGTGAACTGCCTGCACGCCTTGGAGGAGATCCTGCAGCGAGAAGGAGGTGTCGTCATTAATCGGCCCATCGCTCACCACCTCGTCAACAGGTGTCAGAACACATTCCCCAAGTGCCTCCACGCTTAACCGCCACTTCATCTCGATATTGGCAGTTGGTGGAGGGGGCGGGGGCAGCAATGGGACTTTTGTCTTGGGCCCAAAACTCCAGATGGGTCCCAAGAAAAAAGGACTTCCACTCAATCAACCAATCACTTGGCTATTAAGTCAATCACCGGTCCATCCACTTAATAACTAGGTTAGCCAATGACCGAGTCACTCACCCACCAAATGGGCCACTCACCGCGCCACTTATTAAGTCACCCACTAGGCCACTCGCTGGATTGTTCAGCAATGCGACGCTGTTGTGTTCCAGGCTGCCGGAGTGCGACGAGTGGGGCCAGGCAGCGGTGCTCTCCTTTCTCCTGCGCTACCAGCCCAGATCGGAGGGCGAGACCTTGGATGTGCTCAACCGACTGGATGGCCTGCTGGAGCCAGCCCGGTCGCCGGGCGTGTCACTGGCCGCGGGGAAGCTGTTCATCGCGTACACCGGCGGCCTGGGCGAGGCGGTGAGACGCGACGTCCTCGCCAGAGTCGGGGCGCCTCTGCTGTCGGCGTGCGGGGACCAGAGCATCGAGATGCGATACGCGGCGCTGTGTCACGTGCGTGAGCTACTCGGGTGAGCGGTCCGCGCGCGACACCGGTGGTCACCCCCACCGCACACACCGGAAGAGCGACGCCGGCCATTGTGCCCCATTCGGGGACCTGCCTGCGTGATCCAAACCAGATCAAGAGTTGAAGACCGCACCTTGCCATTGTTTGCTTTATTCTGCCAGATCCCACAATTGTTGGATATTTGACACCTGACCTCCAAGGTCTTGCAGTCTGATAATCACCATCTGGCTTGTTTACACGATTCCACTTGTTTACATTTGACATATCCTCCAAGAGTTGCTTTTACAGTCCCCCATCACCACTTTAGGTCTTCCCCTTCGTCGCCGACCTGCTTTTTGTTACACAATGCCCATCTTCGTAACCGGTCCTCTTCAACCCAACACACGTGTTCCACTCATCACAACCTCCTCCTCTTACAGGTTAATATCTAAAACCCTTTCCTGCCACGTTCTACTCTGAGCTTCCAAGTCGCTTATCCTGTCCTATTAAATTGAGAGCATCCTCTGCACGCGCTTGTATTTTAAACAACCAAAAGCTTCTTTTCCAGCTGCTTAAAGTCCAGCTGTGACCCGTACCCTAATGCAGACACCTCCTCCTGCCCCACGTAGTAACAAAACTCGTTGTCACGTGGCAGGTGCAACCCGGGCATGTTCAGTGGCCACTACAAAAGGTTCTTCTGCCGGCACGAGGACCCAGCCTATGTGAAGCACGTGAAGGTGGAGCTGCTGAGCCATCTCGCCAACGACCACACCGTGGCCGAGATCCTGGAGGAGCTCCGGGGCTACTGCACGGACGTGTGCGCCAATCTGGCGCAGGCCACCATCCTCGCCATAGGCACGTGGTGTGGGCGCCGAGACATTGCGGCCGTGCTTGCTCGTGTTTCTGGCGGCGGCGGCGTTCACGTGGCATGCTACGCTCGCACTCACCAAGCCGTGCCTGTGTGCGTGCAGGACAGATTGGGAGGACGTACAGCGAGCAATGCCTCAAGATACTCATTGCTCTGGTTGGTCTAAGCCAGGAGCACATCACGTCCGGTAATCGGTCCACACACCCACGCGCACACAGATCCCCGTGTGGTCTTGCAGAGGTCATTTCCACACAGTGGGTGAGCTATCGAGTAGTGTGCATGTGGTATAACTGCACCGGGGCCCACGGGCCAGAGAAGCCCAGGTGTGGGCTACAGAGGGGGGGGAGCAAATCCAACAGGGGGCCCAATTTCATTTCTCACACCAGGGCCCATGCCAATTGTGCTTTGCCACCATTTGCACGAGCCACACAACCAGAGTTTGAACTCGCTTCAAGGACTGGCCTGATATCACTAAGTCAGAATTAAATCGCCAAACGCGTTGTTGGACATGTGGTTATACGCGGTTATCTCCACTCAGCGGTGCTACAGGCCCTGCGGGAGCTGGTGTGGCACTGGCCCTCGTGTGCGCCGTCCGTGTGCCGCGTGCTTCCGGGCTGCGAGGAGATCGTGACGGACTCAGAGGTGAGGCTTCCCTCATCCTCCTCTCCACTCCCACGGCATCCCAGCCCGCACTACCAGCTTTCCATTTTGCGGTTGTCCGGACTGAGGTTTGCTTGCTTCCGTGTGCCGCAGGGCAAGCGGGCACTCGTCTGGCTACTGGGGCAGCTGGGCAGTGAGGTCCCCGAGGCCCCCTACATTCTAGAGGAGTACATAGACGGCTTGTCTGTGGAGACGGTTGCCTTGGTGAGGATGGAGCTGCTCGTTGCCACGGTGCGCCTCTTCTTGTCACGTCCCGCCGAGTGCCAGGACATGCTGGGCCGACTGCTGCAGTACTGCATTGGTAGGGCACGCACGCTTGTTAGCACCCGTACACTTGCACACTGCTACGCCCTCCCTATATACGAGTACACTCAGCCTCCTATAATTACGCATGTTAGCACGGCTGCACAAGTACGCGCACACTGCTACACTCGCACTTGTTATCATATCTGCACGTGCACATACTGCCATGCCGATACACTCGCTGTGCTCTAGAAGTACAGCCATGAAATGCTACAATCGCCACACATAACAGCACACCTTTGCATGTACAAATCTATTTTTTCGGGTTGATGGACTGGAGTAGGTGGCACGTGTTTAGTAGCCACAGACAAACCAATAAGTATACTGGATGTGGTGTGTTGGTTGCAGAATATATTCTGGGTCGATGACCCAGACAGACCCGCCTGAAATTTAACTGTCCCCCGTGACCTCTCCTCCTCTTCCCCACTCCGCTGGTTTCTAAGAGGAGGACACAAATATGGTGGTGCGAGACCGAGCACTGATCTACTACCGGCTGCTGCAGTCGGGGCCCGAGTGGACACGCCACGTCGTACTCGGGCCCGGTGGCGCCAGCGGGGACGACGGGGGGGCGGCCTGCGCCCTGCCGCAGGAGCCGCCCTCGCTGCCCCTGTCCGCCGTGCTGCCCCGCTTCAACACGCTGGCGCCGCTGCTTACGCCCCCGCCCCCCGCCGCCCTGCTCATTCGTCTGGAGGACGAGGACGAGGACACCTCCGAGACACGGCCGCGCACCCATCCAGGTACAGCGCTCGCTCCGCCAAGCACTCGCCGTGTTAGCCGCGGCTGCTTCACGCGCGTCGATTGAGAATAAACGCCCCGTCGCGCTGTTCCCCTTGCCAGACCTCTCAGGGCTGTCCCTCGAGGGCCCGTCAGGGGCTACGCCCCTCTCGCTGGTGACCTCACCCCTCAGCCCAGCGCAGTTTGAGGCTCTGTGGCTCAAGTGGGAGACGGCGCAGACCTTCACGGTTGTCTGGGGCACGAGCTCGGCGTCGACGGCGCAACCGCCCGATGCAGCGGACACCGGCGGCGTCGCCGTGAACGGCCGGCTTCCCGTGAGCGAGGATGCTGGTGCAACCGGCAGCCGGGTGGACTCGGTAGCTGTGGAGGCCGGGCTGAGGGCCGTGGGAGTGCAAGTGATGGCGGTGAGCGGCGCCGGACTGGCGCCCTGGAAGGCGTTCGTGTTTGCGCACGACGCTGACGGGACGCTGTTCCTGGCCGAGATGGCGCAGGCGGAACGGGCGACCCTTGACGTCGCCGTCAAACAGGGGCCGCCGGACGCGCGACTCCTCGCCGACTTCGTGACGCTGCTCAGGGCCACTCTGCAGGTGCTGGGCGAGGGTGACGTGGCGCTCACGACACCGGAACCGGCAGACGACGGCGGGCAGTGCGAGTGACCGCAAGTGCACCGTGTTGTGCATGCTCACCAAGCCTTAACCCCCGTCCAACCGGCGGTACTCGGGTACGGTCGGCAGCTACACCTCCAAGTATCGGGCCTGCGAATCGAATGAGGCGATGGCTGCTGCACAGTAGACGTGTCCAGCAAGCGCAGCACCAGCTGAGAATACCCAACCTGCTGCTTTCCTAGTAACCTCGTTGCTAGTCCAGCAGTTGAAAGCAGTCCAAGTCATATCTGCCTTTGCACTACTGTACTTTGAAAATTGAGCAATGCCTTTGCAGTTCACTACTTGGTCCATGGCTGTGGCCGGCGACTGGTTGTCAGCTTTATGCACGGCCGTGAATTGTCGTTCCTTCTTACAGGACAAATGTTACCCGAAGGATGTGCAATCCATCTGTGAGCTGCCATCAGATGTGCTTTATTTTGTATTATATTAACTACTAAAAATAAATGGATCTTGTGTGCACTCAGCCTAGCCTTTGAATGTACGAAACACGGTGGGGGCAGCGGTGGTGCAGTGGTGAACGGCCTGCATTGTGAACCGAGCGACGGGAGCTCGATTCCCAGCCCTGACTAACAAGTGCAGAGCCATATCTTGGGTTTACATAGACAATCTAAATTATAATAAAAAAAACTTAATTAAAATAATCACAGCTACGCAAACACAATTGGGACCCTGGCTCCTATTAAAAACTACACTTGTGAATAATTTTAATATACTTAAATTTTGATTTAAAGCTAATGTTAAAAAATAAATAAATACAAACCGCCACTTTCAAATGTTCTTGCCGTTGGTTTTCACACCTGATGATGACTGCTTGTGTTGCAGTTGAAACGTCGTGAGAATTTAATTGTTTTATATATATTTTATTGTTTCCCTTCAACGTGACTTTACCGAAAGAACCAAGAATATGAATCACTGCAGTCACGAAAGCTTTAAATCAAAATTTAACCGCCTCTACGGGGAGGGTTTCCACATAACTTTAAGATCCTTCAACAAACTCCGGGATAAGAAGGCTCAGCTGATCGAGTCTCTCACCTTTCTGAAGAGATGCCGCGACTCTGGGGTAATACCAATCGCATTTACACTGACCTCTACTGCTGTAATTTCTAATGCGAAACGAATTATTTTCAAAACTAGCTTAGCTCTTATCTCAGAGAAAATCAGACTTATACGCACCGAACTAGATCAGGTAGACAAGACACTACAAATCACACATATCATTGATGGCAAAAATGTCCACATCGGATTGGGAACATGTAGACAATATGACTGCCTCTTCAGCTGCTACTATGTCGACCAAATGTAAGGACAACCTGATTTCCAAATTTAACCTCCAACAAAAGACTGGACCCACACACCAAAAACCTAGACGTTAACAAAGTCGTAATTAATCGCAGTAAGTTCTGCGTAGAACTTACTGGGTCACATCGCTGCAGACGTAGCAAGATCTGAAATCGCTGAAACCCTCAAAAACGCTAAGATGCCAGCTAGCAACCTCAGCAAAGATGAGCGTTTTGAATTATAAGATGAGCGTTTTGAATTATATAAATTCAAAGAGGGATGACATTGTAATCCTCTCAGCCGACAAGGGCAATGCTACTGTCATCATGGATAAAATAGAATATAATAACAAAATTAAAGAATTACTCGACGATGGCAGCTATACAAGAATAAAAAGAGATCCCACCAACAGCCTCGTCACGCAAACCAACAAAATAATGTCTGATTCAACCGCATTAATTGATCAAACTAAAGAGTTTTCGTTGAAAACTTCTGCTGCCAGGCCACCAAGATTATACGGCTTGCCAAAAATACATAAAGTAGATACACCCCTTCGTCCCATCGTCTCTACTATCAACTCCCCCACCTACAAACTGGCTCGTTTCTGTCTGAAATCCTGTGGCCTTTCACTGGAAAAACCACCTCTGCGGTACAAAATTCTACTCACCTGGTATCGACAATCAAGGGTATTTCCCTGTCCCCAGACGACCTGCTTGTCAGTTTTGATGTAGTTTCCTTATTCACCAAAGTTCCTGTACCTGACACCATCGCAATCATTGAAGATGAGACACTGCTTAACCAATACATACTTCACTTGGAATGGAACTTTCTACAAACAAACTGAGGGCACCCCAATGGGCTCCCCCCTATCTCCGGTTATAGCCAACATTTTCATGGTGAAATTTGAGACTGACGCCATCCAGACTGCCACTCTGCGCCCAACCTTATGGAAGAGGTACGTGGATGACACTTTTGTCATCTGGCCACATGGCCGGCCTGCTCTAGACCAATTCTTCGACCACATCAATTCCATACACCCAGCCATCAGATTTACCATGGAAGTCGAAAAAGATGGCAAGCTACTTTTTTGGATGTTCTAATAAAAAAGAGACCTGATGGTTCAATGAGTCACTCTGTCTACAGGAAAGCTACCCATATGGATGCTTATCTGAAACCGGATTCCCACCACCATCCATCAAGACTCTGCACCATAGAGCCCAATGCATATCCGACCAGGAACACATAGGCAGTGAACTCAAGCACGTACACCAAGCTCTTAAGGCTAATGGCTACTCCAACTATACAATCTGCAAAGGTATCACTCAAACCATGAAGGACCCTCTTGAGGAGCCTTTCAAAACCATCACTTTACCCTACATTGCTGGGATCACAAAAAAGATCTCCAAAATCTTGAATAAACACAAGATCCAGGTCCGTTTCAACACATTACATAAAATCCGTGATCTGGTTCCGTCTGTAAAAGATGTGATTACGGACATACAGTACCCTAGTGTCTACAAACTAAGTTGCCTCTGTGGTAGTAGTTACATTGGAGAAACCAAACGACATGTCTCGGACCACATTCGTGAACACAAAGCAGACCTTAAACACGGTAGGACCAACACTTCGGCCGTGGCAGATCACAGTTATAATTCAGTAGGCTCACATGACATTGACTTCTCCAAGACAGAGGTTCTTTGCAAGCCATCTGGCTACCATGAGAGATTCGTTCATGAGGCTAACCACATATACAAACAGACAATTTCAACAGAGAAGATGGATTCTGGCTTAGCAATCATTGGAAGGATTTGATAAACCATTTCGGGTCTTAATTGATTGTTCACGCTTACGGTGGCTGTCAGACAGCATACATTAATTTTTCGTCTCCCCCCTCCTCTTTTCCGAACATAGATGGACTCGTCCATCTGAACAAACTGTCAAATCGCTATCCGTGGTGCTAACGTTTAAAAATAAATAAATACAAACCACCACTTCTTTCAAATGTTCTTGCCGTTGGTTTTCATACCTGATGATGACTGCTTGTGTTGCAGTCGAAACGTCGTGAGAATTTTATTGTTTTATATATTTTATTATTTTATTGTTTCCCTTCAACGTGACTTTACCGAAAGAACCAAGAATATTTAATATACTTATTATTTAGAATGGTCCTACTACAGCAATTACATTGTGTTTTTTTGCTATAGGAGGCAAACGATGGAAAAAGTATACTGAGCTGTTCAGGATATTTATGTAAAACAAAAGCGAGTAATCTTCCCAAAGGTACCATGGCCTGGCTGTGGGGGTGTGTTGGAGGCAGTGGTGGATCTAAGGAGATGGGGGAGACAATGGGGCCCCCCTCGAGACCCCGAAAATTGGTGTCTTATTGATATTTACCAGTCTCGGCTGTCTCTCACGGGAAATGTCTCGGGGTTGACTTTTATTGTTTATGTAGGGTTCTATTTTAAAAACATGAAATATTGGGACTGCCCAACCCCCTCTCCTCCCTTGGGAAGTTTCTCCTTCTACCTGTGGTAGGAGGTACCGCACGGGGGAGGCAGAAGCCAAGCGACGGAACACAGGAAATCTGCTTGGCTGCAGGGGGTGTGCGGATAGCGGCTGGGTCACAGGTCAATTCACAGGTTGCCGGTCGATTGCGCCCCTTCGTCAGCTCGCACATAGCCTCGGAGAGAGAGAATATGCACGTCACGTTTGATCAATGAACACATCGCGTGGTAAAAAGCTCAGATGACACACGAGCACCCGTGCCTTTGTGACTAAGAGTGGATTACAATAACGGAGATCGACACTGCACTTAAACCTGACACTTCGCGACATGACTCATCGCAAACACCGCTCAACAGCCAAACGATCACAAACACGCAGATTAAGGTCAGGGGCAAGGTCAGGAGCCAAGGCCTATGGTATTATTTGATGACCTTTGTCAATCCGCTACTGGATGAAGGCCCCTCCCCATGATCATGGAGGGTTGTTTGACCACACCGCACACGAATCGGATTGGCGACCGTGAGAAACATATAAATACAGTACAATGGATATTCCCAGCAATACCCTCTGTTGTCGGCCATCCAAGCACGATTCAGGGGGAAATATTGGACCGGATCAATTAATCTCATTCGCCATTGACGTTAGCCGTGGCCAGGAAACAAACTCGGGTTGCCAGGTTCATCGCGCAGGGCGCTAATCAGTGATGTGACCACTTCTCAAAGCAACCCACCACATTTTACCTTGCTCAGGATTAAAGGCATTAATCACAATATACCCGTGTTTAAATGAAAACTTTATTGACACATTGTGAAAGCAATGTCTTATACTATAAAACCTATACACTCTGGAAAAAACACCCTGCCCAACGATGTCTATCGGTTTAAACTCTTATCGGTGTCTCTTTGCGGTCACATGGGCATCAAGTCACGAACCCTTGATAAGTGAGCAGCGACTAATAAACCAACGCGCAGCTAATAATATGTAATTTTTTTATTATCAAGCACGGTTAATCCACCAACCGGATAATTCATCGACAGAGATTGAGAGTTCATTATTAAAACTTGTGGTTGCTGATGCTGGTCCACGTGAGCGCCACTTCCCAGCGTCGTGGGCGCCTCCTGCCCTTCCGGCCTGCTCCGGCCGCACCGCCCTCGCTCACAGAGGCTCCACGCGTGGCCTCTTGGCCACGTGCCTCGTGTGGCCAGACGCCCCCACGTCTGCACGGGAACACGAAAGGATGGCGTTGAGCACGAGGCAGGCGGGGATGCGCACGGGCGCTCGTCAACGCGCGAGACCCCGCGGCGTCGCCCTCCACCCTCACCTGGCCTGTGTCTGGGGCTGCCGTCGGCCGTCCACCCATTGGCTGCGGCCTGCTGCGGCGGTACGTTGGGGCAGCGGCGGTCGGGCCTCTTTGGCGTGCAGCTGCGTGTCACCATGGCGTGGCGGCTGGGCGAGATGGGCAAGGGGCCGGCCGGGCAGGCGTTCGGCCCCACTGCGTTGGTCGGCTCCTCGTACCCGCACATGTCTCCCTGAAGCAGCTCCATCAGCTCTCGGTCGACTGTTCGGACATGACAATTGATCCGTGCTCGTTACCACGCTTCCGGCATTACACTACCGCTTAATTGCACGACATAATATGAACTTCAGCAAGCTGATTGGTTTATTGGTTGGTTTATATTGACCACATTAGAACAATCAGTCAATACCGCTGAAATGCTCCAAATGAAGCCGGGTCTCAGCCGCCCATGATTAAACCAAACTCTCACGTGTAGCGAGTTCATGGTACTAGCACAGTCGTCAATGACTGCAAAATACAACCAACACTGTCGGGAGAAGATGCAGTGCAACTAATGAAGATGAGCGACAATGGAAAGAACCTCAGCAGTCATTCGATGATTTCATTTTACAGAGAGGATTCAAAAGCACGGAGTCATCTTACATTGATTTCTGTGGGTTCCCAATGGAAATTGTCCACATGGAATTGAAGCAAAAAAATGAAAAACATTTTTTTTTTACAAATCTGAAACTCAGAATCGTAAAGTGCTTATCAGTGGCATGTTTTAAAACATGCAGGTAATGAAATGGAGAAACGGTGTACGGTGATGAGTGTGCACTCACTAGATGTGATGTTCTCTGCTTTCTTCACCACGCTGCTGCTGCTGCCATCAGCTCCCGTGGGTACCTTCCCGCTATCTGTAGGGCGACCCGACATGGTATACAGAATCAGGGCGCCAGGCTAACAGTGATGGCAAGGTGGATGTTAAGTGCTCGTCTCAAGGTGTAGTGGTGTTAGAGGGTGGACTATGTGCATGGTTGGTGGGTGTGTGGATAGAGTTCAAGTATAACCTTTAATGGGTTAAATGTAGAGGTTCAAGTCAAGTTGATTTTGTGTAACCAGGCGAGAACTCAAAAGAGATCAGGATGGAGTCTCATTTGCAAGCATTACCTGGGTGACCAAAATGACAAAAAGCAAAACAAATTGGAGCAAAAGCAACCATTTCAGTGGGTAGTGTGAGCGATTATGGGTAGGGCGTGTGGGTATTGCATGGGGGGCCGCAGCGAGTATGTAGTGTGTGTAGATGGTGCGCGTAGCATGTGCGCGTAGTGTGTGAGCAGGGCTATCTAAATGTTAAATGGAGCCCCTGTGCAGATGGGGGAAAAGGAACCCTAGAAACAGACAGAAAAAACACAAGAGGTTGACGCAGAGACATTAAGAAAGACAAAGAGATGCGGAGAGAATTCGTTTTGGGGGGCACAAAGAAACCGGGCACTGTACACATGCCATGTGATACCCATGCTGTACGTATTGTACAGCCCGCACGGCGTGGGCAGCGCGTGCGGGCGCCAGTGTTGGGGTGAGGGCAAAGGGGTTTGATTGCCTGTCGCGGCCGCCTCTCCCGATTCTCCGCGCTGGCCTTTGCTCGCCATGCTCTGCCGAAAGCGCTGTTGCTGCTGCTGCTGGAGTTGTTTGCGCAGCAGGCGAATGTCGTGCGTGCTCGTGGGGTTTCCAGGAGCCCTGAGTCCGCAGATGCACGCGCGCATACATACACACACGCACGCCAACTCCAGCCACTCGCTGCGGTCAGTTCACGCGCAAGGAAGGAATCAATTGCGACTCCTAAGCCATTCATCGAATCTCATATCAACCATTCCGATTTCCATGCTGCCGTCTAGCCAAGGGGATCCCCACCCCCTCAAGTGGCAGCTGTCCCTGTGTGGCAAAAGGTGATTACGGCACCGGCGAGGATTCACGCACCCCTGGTCGGGATTGTCCTCGCTCAGCAGCTCGGGCGCCGACTCCCTGCACGGGGCCGTGGGCTGCGGCCCTCCCGGCGGGACCTCTCCTTGCTCCTCCATCGACACCGACCCCTCCTCTGCTGTTGCTGTCTTCTCGCCAGCGGCAGTGGCAGCTTGCGCTGCAGCGATGTGCCGGGCCGCTTGCTGGCGCCACGACTGGTTGATGCCGGAGACGCGCGCCAGCTCCAGTTGCGCCTCCTGCTTGGGGTTCTTGATATCGGCGGGGTCGTACACCGGCGCTGGCTACCATACAAAGTAAAAGCAGTGCCACGTGTCCTCAAAACAATTTGAGCAGATGTACCATGCACCACATGGTGCATCCCTGAAAAAAACACGTCCCCTAAAGAACATTTTATTTAAAAAAAATAATTTCACGCCCGAATCTCAATAACTAAACAGCAAGCAAAGATATGGCGACTTGTGACTGCAGACACACCACATGCCAGGCAGTCACAGTAGGGCACTTGACCATGCAGTGATGGTGGTTTTGTATGACGAGCAACTATTAGCGGTCTAGTGCAGTAATAACTGTGGAGTTGGATTACATGCTCCAGAATTGTCTTGTGATTTTGCATGGTTTCAGTGTTGTTAATAGTGTATTTTAAATAACTACGTCAATCTTATTGCCCTCGCTCATTCTCCTTTTCTGTCCACATTATGAATATGAGCCAAAAATGTCTGTGTGTAACACGCATGACGTCACTCCACATGCCGCACCCCTCCCCTCATTAATAGGCAAGTATTCTGGAACTTCCTTCGCCCAGCAACCTGTGCTGTCGGCACCCTAGCCTATAACCCATCCAAGGACGGGTGCATTGCAGTAAATCTGAAACAAAGCGAAAAGCAGACCGCGACGTCATATTCATTGCATCCATTCGTGTGCAATTTATAAGGCCGTGGTGACAGACTTATTTCATTTAAAGGTTATAAGCCCTTGTTCATCATGACGTCCTTTTTACTTTGATGTCTCAACAGCGTTACGGAGATCGCGTGCCGTGAGGGTTCTGCCCTTGTAGTGAGGGTTATAAGTTGACGCTGAGGAGGGGGGAGGAGGCGCCTCCCCCGCCCCCCCCATGTGGAGTGACGTCACCCGCTCATGATTATTAATGAGGGGGGGGTGGCCCATGTGGAGTGACATCACCCACTCATGGTTATTGGGGAGGGGTGTGGCATGTGGAGTGACGTCACCTGCTCATGATTATTAATGAGTGCCGTCGGCTCCCTACCAGTTTATAATCAGGCTCAAGACCTTCCTCTCCCCCCTCTCGTTATGCCCGACTTCCTCTCTTTACAAAATATATATGCCCAGGGTTTTCTATACAGCGTCTTCAGATTCGGCCACATGTCGATGCTGCACAAATCCACACTGTATTTACTTAATTGGTTATAAAGGTTGTATTTATCACTTACGGGCTTGGGCAGCCTGTTGATGCATTTCAGGTAATCCTTGTCCTGGATGCAGTTACCCAAGCAGTTACCAAAGGACCTGGAGGGGAGAGGGAACAGAGGCAGCGTGAGGGCCGTGTGGAGCCGGCCTGCGTGGCAGAACAGAAGCTGAAGTCGGATCCCTACGTGGCTAAAATTCCCATCGTCAAGGCGGCCACACTCATGCTTGATACCGCTACAGACCTAACCCTGGGTTTTCTATTGGACAAATTCCTAATAGCAACATAACTTTAAACGTATGTTGCGTTCATACAGGATGATCGTTGCGAGTTATCAGACAGAGCTACTGAATGAACACTTTCAACTTTTTCTGGAAAGCTTTAAAATAGACACATCTGCTCAATTGTAACCTCAGTGCGAACCCTACACGAACCAGAAGTAAACCAAAGCCACCATTATGAATTGAGCCACGACCCGAACGTCCCGGCTGCCCCCGTATCCACCGAGGTCAGGTTAATCGAGAGAGCCGCACCTGAGCGACCTCTTGAGTCCGTCCGTCACCGATTCCTTGCGCGCCTTCTCCAACGACAGCGCCTTGGAACGCTGCCCCTCGCTCACCCCGTAGCCAACATCCTCGTGGTAGGCGCCGTCCTACGGCGCCGGCGGAGGCATCACGTGGGAAAGAGAACGATCGGCAGAATCCAGCGTGACACCAGCAATCATCACGTCTGTGACCTACAACCCTGTGGCCTCCAACTCGGTGAAAATTCATAATAAAGGGTTTTGAGTTAGATCGCTTAAGTATAAATGTGTCAAAACCCTCCACCACCCGATATGGCCAATCAGTAAGGGATTTGTCACGTAAACAAAACGCCAAACAAATAGTTACGGTACTACTTCAACCCACCGGTGTGTTGAAGAGTGAATCCACAACATTTACAATCTGAGTATGATGTTTTGGGCGATTTGTCAGAATATTCTGGCAAATCGCCCGATGATGCTGGATGTAATTACTAGCGAAACGTCGTACTCAAATTCTAAATGTAATGGATTCACTCTTCAACACACTGGTGGGCTGAAGTAACTATTTGGCGTTTTATTTACCTGACAAATCCCTTACTGATTGGCCTTGTCGGGTGGTGGAGGGTTTTGACACATTTATACTTATGCGATCTAACCCAAAAACCTTTATTATGAATAATATTGGTCGTGAAAGCCTACGTGTTCGGTGAACATTGTCTGTGGCATTCAAGCCAGTGACCTTCAATGGCACGACAATTTTTGCTGACCTCCAAACTAGTGAACGCTGTCTGTGACCACCAACTTAGTGACAAATTTTTCCAAGACATCCAAACCAATGACCATTATTGCCATGGCCACAAATCCAACGACCTCCAATTCAGTGACCATCATATGTGATCTCCAACATTGCGACCATCCAGACAAAAAACTCTGACCACGTAGCCTTCAACCTTGTATCCTTGACCGCCAACCAACTGACCACCATGTCTGTGACATCTGAATGGAAGTTGGATGACAGAAGATCTGGGAGCACAATCTCCCCGCCACCACTGAACAATCCTCAGGCAGTCCCTCACGACCATTACACACAAACACTGTTGCCTTCGGTGTCATAAGAAATAAGCTTCAATACATCTTACCTTTAACTCCACCTTGACAAAACAGCTGACGCCCACATAGTATTTTCCGTCGACAAAATCTACAAAATCTGAGAGGGAGAGGATATTGATTAACTCAGCTCACCGCATTGCCACACCGATTCAACACTGTCATGCGGTGTGCCATTGCTGCAGCCCCCCATTGCGTGTATGTGAATCACATGTGTGTATCAATCCTCTGGACCTCCTGCAGTAAAACAATGAGCCCTGCAGTGTGGCAGGTGGAAGTAACAAAAATGTAACCATTAGATTAGCCAACTGGCGCTTCCCCGTGCAGTCGGTGGCCGAGCGCCGTGGGGCTCACCGATGTTCTGCTGCGACACGGAGTGGGACCAGCCGTTGAAGCCAAACATCGCGTTGGCGAGGTTGACCACCTTGTGGCCCTCGACATAGTTAAGCTGAGACAACACAGGGGCCGGGGAAAGTGCACGAGGTTGGACCAAAGACAGGGTTCAAGTTGTCACCCCTCGGCAAGTTCACGTGGGGAACCCAACAATCACACTCACCCACAGCTCAGAATTTCAGCAGAACGATAACATTCTAAGAACACAAATACGCCTACAACCCTCACATGACACAATCAGATAAACATAGGTGCACACACAGACACTGGGCAAGAGCACATGTAGCCCAGAGTGGGAGTTGAGCCAGCCGGGAGGAGGCCACACGCCTCAAGGGACTTCCCCACCTTCTGTCCGCCGGGGCCCTGGCGCTGGCTGATGTACTCGGTGCCCAGGCGCTTGCGCAGCGCCGACTGGATTGCCTGGTACTCCACGGCCGTGTACTCCATCTGCACACGCGGCACCGCCAATTAACACGTTTGGCTACCTACTATGCGCACACCCCTCGGGTTGGATGAAGGGTCAAAATGATTATATAATTACGATGTGAATGTATACAGCAGAGTCTAAATGGTACCGCATCTCGACGCTGCACAGAAAAACAGAGGGTGCATTTATTTAATAGAGGCAGGGGGGAAAAGACAAGTCTTGAGCCTGGACTTAATAAGTTACTTTTGCATAACCAGGTGATCAACTCAAGAGACCAGGATAAGCCTCATTTGGAAGAATGACTTGGGGCATGAGTCCATCCGAAGAGGGCAATGATTGCTACGTATAATCCAAATTGAGTTATTTGCGGTGTAACTTTCGAACATGGCAAATATGGACACTGACGCCGGCACACAACGGCCCGCTCATCAGAATAACGTCGGGGGATATTTAATGTTCCCTATGGAGCAGACGGCACAGAGTAATATTGAGTTCATCACACCGCAGTAACTTGAAGAGGAACAGGTGTGCAGAAATTAGACCCCTGGGTGAATGGGTGAGGTCTACGAAGAAATCACTCAGGATATGCCTCATCTCATCATAGCTCGAAAGCTAAGCAGAGTACTTGGATGGGTGACTGCCTGGAATTATTAAGCATTGTAGGCTTGGGCTTTGTAAACCCATCTGTGCGGAGCTCCGAACGTCCTTCCTTGTATGCGTGGTGTGTTTTCTGTTTTCCCTCCCATACGAAGCCAAACACTCACAAACATCCCAATTGGAAACCCTCCTAAAAAATAATATTAAGACTTGGTGAGGATTTCCTGGAGAAATAATTGGCATTATTACTATTAGCTCCTGCTCAACTGCTCGTCTCCATATCTGTCAACCCCCTTATCAGTGCCCTACCTTATCACAGATCTCAACGTTCATCCTACAAAAGTCCCATCACAAGGGAGAAACACAAACAAATAGACAAAAAACTATGTTTTACTCCATTTAACTGTACAAGAATACGGGTACAGCCGTATGGTTTGACAGGTAAGCGTCTCTGTCCGGATCCCAGGAGTGCGACTCGGGCAACGTCACCTGGCCGAAGCGCTTTGTGTCTCCATTCTTCATAGCAGCAGCAGCAGCATCCCCTAGGGGCATGGCGCTCGGGGTGAGCGGTGGGGTGGCGTTGACAACTCGTGAAGAGCAGGACGGGTGGCACCGCCACAGTGCTGCCAACAAGACAATGTGGTCAACATGAGCAATGCCAACAACACGATACTGTCTACAACACCGTAGTAATAACACTTTATTATTATTATTATCGCAGCTTCCTTGTCAATCCACTGCTCAAGGCTGAACCACGCCGCGTCATAGCAGTACATCAACAACGTTATTTACATGAACCCCAACACAATAAAAAAAAACAATAGCATTTATATACTGTATCATATTTGCATAATACTACACATTATTACTGTATTGATATACAAGAATGTTGATGCACTCACACATATTATCATTTATTATACACGAACACGTCCAAGACGACGCGCTGCACCAGTGGTGCACTGCGTGGTTCTTGCAACGCAGATCGCGCTGTGTATCCGCCAGCCTGGGTTGGATTCCCGGCTGCCATCAGTGGCAACTGTTACCTCACAAAGTATCACGACCGACGTGGAACGGGGGGGGGGGGGCTTCATCCAGCAGTGGATTGACAAAACGTCTGAATAGTATCATCTATTCCTGAGTAATACTCGCATTGGCTTTCATCGTCACCGTTAGAGACATGATCAATCCACTGCTGGATTAAGGCCTCCGCCCCCCCCAACCCGACGCCACACAAGGAATAACAATTCTCAGAACAAGCGTCCAGGTGAAATCTTCACGATCTTTGGGCGTTAGAGTTCAGGCGGGAACAACGCAAACCGCGAAAACGGCCGCGTCTATCGCCTTGATCCAAGTGGCGACAGCGCAGCAGCCCCACGGCCTTGCCCGGGGCCTGCCAATGACGACCACGACGGTGGTGGTGGTGGTGGCGTTGATGCCAAATCATCAGCTATGAACTATCCACTGCTGGATGACGGCCGTCGCCATCCCTCACGCTGCTCAGCCTGACACTGCTCCTGCCGCGCGTCGAAACAATCCCATCGCTCCGCCTCGTCGCCGATAGCCCCCTCGGACGCACGTTCCCCAAAACTTTACGATTAAAGAGTTCGATTATTAAGTCCGCGGGACGATTGCGAAACCGCTCGTGCGGGTGCGTGTCCTCGTTGTGAACACGAGACGCCCTGCGACTGTCAATAACAGCGGCGACAAACGCCAGCATAGACAACAACAACAACAATAGAGGCACAGCAGCGAGTTGTCAGCCAAGGAATGTAAGGCGTGTGAGAGTGACGCCTTACCGGGGAGACGGAGCGATCAGATCGGCTCTTGTGAAGGCGTCAGGCGGATTCGGAACGTCGCGAGCAGTGGTGGAGGCGTGGGGAGGCCATCACCTAGCAGTGGGTAGATCATGGCCGATGACGACGGCGATGATACACAATTAAAATTATAAATAAATGCTCACGCCCGGCAGTGAGTTATTACTATCACTGTGATTGTTTTCGTTGATATTTAGCGGTATTTTATTATTTTATTTTTAAACACGAATCGCGTTTCCCTTTGCCCCGGACGCGGCGCCGACTTCAAAATCCACGCGCGCGCCGCGATTTGTGTCGACTCGTTACCGCGAGCCAATCGGAACGCGCCCCGGCGTTGATTCGTTGCCCGCGGACCAATCGGAACGCGCCCCAGCGAAAGATTCGTTACCCGCGAACCAATGAGAGTTGCGCCTCTGTGTTGGGTTCCCTGGCCCAGTAAATGTGTTAAATTTTTGCGGCACGGATACCGTGCAGGACACTCCACCAATAAGTGACTCAAAATAGAGCGATTTACAACACTCTACATTATATTAACTTAGAATAATTAGAAACACATATTAGTTTGATTTAAAACATGTTTTTTTATCAGCGTCGATGTGGAGATCTTGAAGAGAGGGACAGCAGAGTAAAGTATTGAGCATGCACTTGAATAGTGGTGGGGAGTCGAGGGCACGGATGGCTGGGGAGGGTTTTTGATCCAGAAACTGAAGGTTCCCTGCGCGAAAAGTCGCTCCTTCTTTTCTGCTTCTGCCCCCACATAGTCTGGGATTTCTTACCGTAGTCATCCGTGCTGTCGTTTCCCTGTCCCGATTCAAGTCCAGCCTCAAGACCTTCCTCGTCTCCCTGCCTGTGACGGCCCCTTTCTCGCCACGGTGGCTAGGAGATGTTAACAACCTCGCCTGGTATGCAAGAGGCCGTGGGTTCGATCCAGACCCTGACGCCTGCTGCTGCTGTATATTTGGAGTTTGCGTGTTCACCCCGTGGACTTTTCTCCAGGTCCACCGGTGTTATCCTCCACGCTTAGAAACGTGCGTTTAGATTATTTAGAGTGTTTGGCTGCTGCACATGTCCACATGCTAAACCACTTTGTTGAGCTATCATGTGTGGTCAGGCCGCGTCTGAAAAAGAGCTATATAGCTCAGTGGGCCTTACCTGGTAAAATGCAATAGTTTAAATTATGTATTTTATGACGCGTGATGCATGGCGCCCTACCTAAACATGTAAATACTTTAAACCCCCATTTCGTATTGAGATGCTGTTGAATGCACGTTTGTTGAACTTCCCCGCAGTGCGTAGCCAACCGTGCTAATCGGAGGTGCGGGGGAAGGACAACAAACTAAACACAATAATGATCAGTTATCAAAAACCGTGGATGCAGAATAAATCAACATTGCAGAGTATTGCTGTGCTGCCATCTCCTGGCCACCGTGCACAGCCGGTTGATTTGAACCTTGACCGTCTTTTTGCATTTGGAATATAGGGCATGCGAGAGGACATGAGTTGATGAGATGGAGCGATTTAATCCATTGATGTGCAAGTGCCCGGCAGAATATTACATGAGCAGGATCGTGAGAGGTGGTGGCTGCTTGAGGAGGCCTTCATCCAGCAGTGGATTGACCATGGCTCATGGTGACGATGGCATTTCACACACACAGCAAAATCACATTTCGCAAACCTCTTCGTGATCCACCAACCCTTGCCTCAACTTATGACACCGTCACAGGGTATATAATTCAACGTTGGAAGAGGAGCAATTGGCTATGACACAATCGCATGGGATGCGTGCCCGATCTCGTCAGATCTCTGAAGCTAAGCGGGACTGATCCATGAGAGGGCTTCTTGGATGGGTGACCAACCACGCAGGGGCTTGCCCAGGTGCTGTAGGCGTTGGGGGCTGCGAGGAGTCTCCCCCTGGTGTGGAGCGGCGCGGCGCTGGGGTTGTCTCCGGGGTTTCTCACACACAGAGCCAGAGACTCTCGTTCGCGGGACTGGCCAAACGTCCCAATGTAGCAGGGCCCTATACTGAAAGGTTTTTTTTTAATCCTTAACAGCTTACCTCGAATGCCACGGGCTTTTGCTCCGGTAGAAGCCACCAGAGCCGTTCATCCATACAGACCCACTTGTGACCCTGCGCTTTTAAGATAAGGGTTGGTGGATCACGGAGAGACTTGTGAGACCCTGCTGAGTTGCGAGGTGGCCAACAGATAGCAGTGTAGCAAGTAGATTCGTGAACCTGTTTGAAATATATTTTAAGTAAACTTTGTACACACAGAGGGTGGAATGGTGGCGCAGTGGTTAGCGCACTTCACTATGAACCCGGCCACCTGAGTTGGTTTGCGGGCCACGGCCAATATCGGCCGCGATCCTTGAGGTCCCCATCACCAACGCGCACTGACGAGCGTGGTGAAGTATGGTTAAACAACGCCCCATGACCAACGGGCCATGGGGATGCCTTCATCCAGCGGTGGATTTACAACTGGCTCTATATAATGACGCTTGTTATTGTCGTTAGGCTGTGTATTATCGTATTGCTTGCTATACAGGGTCCAGCACGCATTCTCGTGTATTGGCTCTGTGCAGTGCTGCTGCTGGCACAGGACACGCTCCAGACCCAATATGGGAACCACCTCGACGCCCACCCTCGGGGAGGGAATTTCACCACAAACCCTCGCTGCTGCCTCCACAGCGCTGGATTGCAGACGGCCACGTGCAGCGTGTCCACAACCGCCGCCGAGCTCGTAATGGCCCAGCACGCACCGCTTCGATCCCTCTTTGCGCACTCTTCTGCTGCTGCTGATGATGATGATGCGGTGGCCGAGACGACGACCAGCAGGCAGGGTCTCGCCGCCAATCAATGAAGGGCCATTGCCCGAAACGTCGCCTACTATATTTTCTCCCTTTTAAGACCAAAGTGTTATTTACGAATGCGTTATAATCTGTTTTCAAACAGACGAGCAGCCCACACGACGTTTCGACGTGACCTACCGTCCGTCTCTCCCTTCTTCCAGAGGTGACGTCCTGCCAGCCAGCCAGCAAAGCTTATTTAAAAATATATATATTCGTATAAGCAATGCGGATCCTCTCCATATCTGTTTTTCCAGATAAAAAATATATATTACACATTCCCATCGACCCCACTGTATTTTTTCAAGGAGGGCATCATTTCAGCAGCATTAATTCGGTTTCGACACGTAGTGTCTCATCAGCATGTCAGGCTCGTTAGAATCAATGCTATTGAACTGCCAGATGCGTATAGGCCCCCTCCCCGACCCCGCACTTTGAAGGTATGGGGGACCCCACTATAACGCAATATTATATAATTACAATAAATAAATAAACAACCCAGAGTAATCATTAGCTCGGATGTTTCGCTTTTTCAATTACGATGTAAGATCTCCAGATTATCTCTCAATGCGTTAAACACGACTCTACAATACAACAGAAGGCGTTCAAATTTACATCCATCAACATCATCACCCGTCGTCATTATGATTTTAATTTACAACACGGTCACGAGAAGAAAAAATCCAACGAGCCTATAATATCTCTCTATTGATTCATTATTTCATCCCGGCCAATGAGACCTCTCTCTCTCACTGACACACTCACTGACACACACACACTCTCACTGACACACTCACAAGGCAAGCGGATTGCTCAACGTGACGCGGCGCTGGCTGGCCCGTGACGTCAGGCGAGCTGGCCGGACCATGAATCCAGCACGACGGCGCGGCCACGGAGCGCCCGGTGCGGGTAAGGAGGAGCCGCTCGCTCGCCCGCTCGCTCGCCCCATCAGCCGCTCGCTCGCCCGCTCGCTCGCCCCATCAGCCGCTCGCTCCGCACGGCGTAGGCGACAGAGATCGGGGTGGGGGGGGGGTCGGCATCGAGGAGGTCGCGCACGAGACGCTCCACCGCGCAGCAGCGCCACCGGACCGGTGGAACAGCGAGCAAGGAGGCGGTGGAGGGGGAGGGGGTGGTGGGCGATCAGGGGGGGGGGGGGGGGGGGGGGGGGGGGGGGGGGGTTCGAGGCCCCGGGGAGGCAGAGAGAGGAGGGTGCGCGGTGGGATGGGGGGGGTCGTCGAGGAGGCTGGGCGTACGCGGTGTGCGGTCCCGGGTGGGTACGTGTGATGATGATGCTGCTGCTGCTGATGATGCTGATCGTGATGATGATGTTGATCGTGATGATGATAATGATTCTGCTGCTGATGACGATGATGCCCTTGCTGTTACCGTCGCCGCTGCTGCTGCAGATGATGATACAATGCAATGGTGGTGGTGCTGCTGCTGCTGATGTTTCTGATGCTGAAGATGCTTTTACTGCTTCCGCTGCTCTAGCGAATAATGATAATACAATACGGTGATGATGATAATGCTAGCGATGATGATGATGCGAGTGATGATTGTGTCGCTGTAGCGTATGATGATACAACACAACGTTGCTGCTGCTGCGAGCCGGGATGATGGCTCATGCAGCTCGGCCGGGTGGCTCGGATTCGCTCGGGCAAGCTTAGGGATGAGGGGTTTGCAATAGGGCCAGGGGATACGGTTGGCGCTGTTGTTAGGGAAGCGTAAGCGCTGTGGATATGGGAAGGGTTATGCATAGTGTTAGAGGAAGGGCAAGTGTTGATATTGTTAGGAATAGAGTTGGTACTAGGGGCTAGCGGTCGGCATGGTGTTGGTGTTAGGGGGTAGCGGTAGGGATAGGCCGGGCAGCTACATCAACGGGTGCTCGACTGCCCCCGTCTCCTCTGCTGCCCCCCCACCCCTCACGCACCTCGGGCGCCCGGTTCGGCGCAGTGCGGCGGCTCCAACCGGGGCGGCGTGCCGGAGTGAAGTATCACCACTACTATCATCACTACCACCATCACCATCATCACTACCACCACTACCACCATCACTACTATCATCACTACTATCACTACTATCACTACCACTATCACTACTATCACCACCATCACCATCACTACTATCATCACCATCACCACCATCACTACTATCACTACCACCATCACTACCATCATCACTACTATCATCACCATCACTACCACCATCACTACTATCATCACCATCATCACCATCACCATCACTACTACTATCACCATCACTACTACTATCACCATCACTATCATCACTACTATCACTACCATCACTACCACCATCACTATCATCACTATCATCACTACTATCACTATCATCACCACCACTACCATCACCATCACTACCATCACTACCACCATCACTACTATCATCACTACTATCATCACCATCACCATCATCACCATCACTATCACCATCACTACTATCATCACCATCACTACCATCACTACTATCACCACCACTATCACCATCACCACCATCACCATCACTACCACCATCACTACTATCATCACCATCACCACCATCACTACTATCACTACTATCACCATCACTACTATCATCACCATCACTACCATCACTACCACCATCACTACTATCATCACCATCACCATCACTACTATCACTACTATCACTACTATCATCACCATCACCATCACTTCCATCATCACCATCACCACCACCACTACTATCACTTCCATCACTACTATCACCATCACCACCACCATCACCACCATCACCATCACCACCATCACCATCACCACCATCACCACCATCACCACCATCACCACCATCACCACCATCACCATCACCACCATCACCACCACCACCATCACCACCATCACCATCACCACCATCACCATCACCACCACCATCACCACCATCACCATCACCACCATCACCATCACCACCATCACCACCATCACCACCATCACCACCATCACCACCATCACCATCACCACCATCACCACCACCACCATCACCACCATCACCATCACCACCATCACCACCATCACCATCACCACCATCACCACCATCACCACCATCACCATCACCACCATCACCACCATCACCACCATCACTACCATCACTACTATCATCACCATCACCATCACTACCACCATCACCATCACCACCATCACCATCACCACCATCACCATCACCACCATCACCACCATCACCATCACCACCATCACCACCATCACCATCACCACCATCACCATCATCATCACCACCATCACCATCACCACCATCACTACCATCACCATCACCACCATCACCATCACTACCATCACCATCACCACCATCACCATCACCACCATCACCATCACCACCATCACCATCACCACCATCACCACCATCACCATCATCACCACCATCACCATCACCACCATCACCATCACCACCATCACCATCACCACCATCACCATCACCACCATCACCATCACCACCATCACCACCATCACCACCACCATCACCATCACCACCACCATCACCATCACCACCATCACCATCACCACCATCACCACCATCACCATCACCACCATCACCATCACCACCATCACCACCATCACCATCACCACCATCACCACCACCATCACCATCACCACCACCATCACCATCACCACCATCACCATCACCACCATCACCATCACCACCATCACCATCACCACCATCACTACTATCACCACCATCACCATCACTACCATCACCATCACTACCACCATCACTACCACCATCATCATCACCACCATCACCATCACCACCATCACCACCATCACCATCACCACCATCACCACCACCACCATCACCACCATCACCATCACCACCATCACCACCATCACCACCATCACCATCACCACCATCACTACCATCACTACCATCACCATCACTACCATCACTACTATCATCACCACCATCACCACCATCACCATCACCACCATCACCATCACCACCATCACCATCACCACCATCACCATCACCACCATCACCACCATCACTACCATCACTACCATCATCACCACCATCACCATCACCACCATCACCATCACCACCATCACCACCATCACTACCATCACCATCACCACCATCACTACCATCACTACCATCACTACTATCATCACCACCATCACCACCATCACTACCATCACTACCATCATCACCACCATCACCATCACCACCATCACCATCACCACCATCACCATCACCACCATCACTACCATCACTACCATCACTACTATCATCACCACCATCACCACCATCACCATCACTACCATCACCATCACTACCATCACTACTATCATCACCACCATCACCACCATCACCACCATCACTACCATCACTACCATCACAACCATCACTACCACCACCATCACTACCACCATTACAACCACCACCATCACCACCATCACCACCATCACCATCACCACTATCACCACCATCACTACCATCACTACCATCACAACCATCACTACCACCACCATCACTACCAACATCACAACCACCACCATCACCACCATCACCACCATCGCCACCATCACAACCATCACTACCACCACCATCACCACCGCCATCACCACCATCACAACCATCACTACCACCACAACCATCACTACCACCACCATCACCACCATCACAACCACCACCATCACCACCATCACCACCACCATCACTACCACCACCATCACTACCACCACCATCACCACCATCACCACCATCACTACCACCACCATCACCACCATCACTACCACCACCATAACCACCATAACCACCATAACCACCATCACCACCATTATCACCACCATCACCACCATCACTACCACCACCATCACCACCATAACCACCATAACCACCATCACCACCATTATCACCACCATCACAACCATCACTACCACCACCATCACCACCATAACCACCATAATCACCATCACTACCACCACCATCACCACCATAACCATCACCACCACCATCACTACCACCACCATAACCACCATCACCACCATCATCACCACCATCACAACCATCACTACCACCACTACCACCACCACCATCACCACCACTATCACCACCACCATCACCATCACCACCACCATCACTACCACCACCATCACCACCACCACCATCACCACCATCATCATCATCCCCACCACCACCACCATCATCCCCACCACCACCATCACCACCACCATCATCATCACCACCACCACCATCATCATCACCACCACCACCATCACCACCATCACCACCACCACCACCATCACCACCACCACCACCACCATCATCATCACCACCACCATCACCACCACCACCATCATCACCACCATCACCACCACCACCATCACCACCACCATCATCACCACCATCACCACCACCACCATCATCATCATTACTAACAACCACCATCAACCACAACCATCGTCGCGAGCGCGAGCACCTGCATCGCGTCTCGCGAGGGGGCGGAGGGAGGGGGATTGCTGCCTGCGAGGGGAGGGGGGCAGGGATGTGTCGGAAGGCCCCGTGTGGATCATCTGCCCTGCGCTGCGATGTTAGACTCTGCTGCTGTTGTTGATGATTTGTTGTCGGTGTGTAATGGACGCGGGGTGCTGTGTGCTCGGTTTGTTTCGCGCGAGACAAAGGAGAGCGCCGAGGCGAATGTCCCCGTGCGGCTGCGACCGCAATTCGCATGCGGGCAGCGCGCGCGCGCTGCGCGGCACGGGAGCGTGTCGGAGGCGCGCCCGTCCCTCCATCGCTCTCCTCCCCCCTCACTCGCCCTCTCACCTCGTCGTCACGATTCCTCATCATCATCATCATCGTCCCCCTGTACCCTCATCATCTGCTTGCTTCCTCAATGCCTCTCTGCCTCTCTCTTCCTCATCCTTCTTCCTCCTCCTTAGCCTTTCCGATATTCGTTCTCCTCCCTCCCTTTGCTTCTTCCCGACATAATAGGAGGCTTCTGTTCGCTCTTCATCAGTGTCACTATCATCATGCTCCTTCCTCCTCCTCCATTCGCTTTTCATCATCATCATCACCACCACCATCGTCCTGTTCCATAAGCGCCTTCTCTTCCTCCTTCTCGACATGCTCCCTGCTCCCCCCTCCCTCCCTCCCCTCTTCCCCCATGCCCCCTCGCCCTCGCGTCGTTATAGCGATGAGAGCGCCGCTCATCACCACGGGACGCGCGCGCGCGCCCCTCCACTCACGCGCGGGCACCGCGCCAGCGGGAGGGGAGGGGCCAGCAGGGAGCACACGGTCCATGGAGGAGGGGGGGCATGGGTGGCATGGGGGGCATGCACACCATCGTGGGGTCGGTGGAGGGGGTGTAGGGAAGGGGTCGCGCCGTTGACCTCAACGCGTGGCCTGGACGCCCTTGAGCGCGGGGATGATGGAGGCACAGGCTGAGGGGGGCCCGTGGGGGGCGGCGGGGGGGGGGTCCAGTCAACTCCCCTCACCCACCCAACCCACTCGCTCTGTCAATCCTTGTCGACCCCCCATCCCGACGACATCGCGTATATCCCCCGCGCCTTCCTGACCCCCACTGTCTCTGTGGCAGTGCTGAACACAGCGAATCGGTTTTGGAGGGGGCAATGTATTGATTAGTTCCATCATCATCATAGCCATGATCGATCCACCGCTGGATGGGTTACGTGATATCGGTTTCCGGCAGGCCGTGACTTTTAATCAATCTCTTCTTCGCGTCGAAATGCGTGAATAACTGATTGATTAATCATTTTTGTTTGGGTCAGATATCGTAAATAAAATGTTTGTCGTAACTCTCCCCCCTCTCCGAACGACACAGCAAATTAATAAAGTTGTCACGTGAACGAACGTGACGATTTATGTCTGCAGCAATGTCGTGAAGCAGTAATAATGCAGTAATGCGTAGTAAGTATTATAATAATGATGTAGCGCCGGGCGCTGACATTGGTGTGCGTGCGGGTGCTGAGTGGATTGTTGTATCGCAGCATCGTGAGGCATAGCGGCGGATTGGGGAGACTTTGATCCAGCAGTGGATTGAACATGTAGCTGATGACGATATCCATATTTGTTGATGATTATCGCGCGTGTGTTGGGAGCGATAGCGCGCTGCGCTATGAACCTGGCGACCCGGGTTCGATTCCCGCACACGGCCAACACCAAGTGACGATTATCTGAACCGGTCCCGGGCCTCCCCTAGGTCGACTCAGCCTCAAATGAGTACCTGGTGCGGTGTGTAAACATTGCCACTAGGGAGACAAAGGCGGTCGGGCGTGGTGCTGGCCACCCACCCCCTCGTGTACCGTTCCGGCCTTCATAGGTGCTCGCTAACAGCACTTGCCCCTACAGTCTGTTAAGGCTATACGGGGGATCTTTGTCTTTATCTTCGTGTGTGCTTGTGTGTGTGCGTGTGTGCGTATGTGTGTGTGTGCCTGTGCGTGCCTGTGTGTGCCTGTGTGTGCCTGTGTGCCTGTGTGTGCGTGCCTGTGTGTGCGTGCCTGTATGTGCGTGTGTGTGCCTGTGTGTGCCTGTGTGTGTGCCTGTGTGTGTGTGCGTGTGTGTGTGCGTGTGTGCGTGTGTGTGCCTGTGTGTGCGTGTGTGTGTGTGTGTACGTGTGTGCGTGCTGAGCAGGGATGACCGCGACCCCGCGCCGCGACCTCCCGGCGCGCCACACCCGGCGCTCCCCCGGCCCGTGAGGTGTGCGGGTGCGAGGCTCCGGCTTCAGTAGCAGGAGACGCAGCGGGAGAAGGGGCGGAGTGGGAGCAGAGGGAGCAGGAGGAAGAGCAGCAGGAGGAGCAGGGGGAGCATTTGCAGGAGGAGGAAGAGAAGCAGCAGCATCAGCAGCAGCAGGGTAATCAGGAGCAGAGGCAGTTCGAAGAGGAGCTCGAAAAAGCAGCGAGAGAAGCAGCAGTTGGAGCAACAGGAGGGGAAGCAGCAGCAGGAAGGGTTCAGTAACATCAGGTACAGCAACAGTTGCAGAAGTAAGATAAACAAGCAGCGGCAATATAGGAAGAGCAGCAGGAGGAGTTGCAGCAGCGGCAGCAGCAGGAGGAGTTGCAGCAGCAGCAGGAGTAGCAGCAGCGGCAGCAGCAGGAGGAGTTGCAGCAGCGTCTGCAGCATTATCAGCAGCGGGAAGAGTAGAAGTGCAGCAACACGAGAAGTAGCGCCGGGAAGAGCGGCTGCAGCAGTAACGGCAGGAGGAGCAGAGGCCGTAGTAGGAGCAGCAGGAGGAGCAGCAGGAAGAGCAGCAGGAGGAGCAGGAGCAGCAGGAGCAGCAGCAGGAGGCGATAAGGATCGACAAAGCAGGATCAGCTGTAAGAGCAGCAGCAGGAAAAGGAATTGGGCAGGACTCGCCACGTGACTCTCCACGGGACCCTCCACGGGACTCTTCACGGGATTCTCCACGGGACTCTCCACGGGACTCTCCACGAGACTCTTCACGGGACCCTCCACGAGACTCTCCACGTGACTCTCCACGGGACTCTTCACGGGACCCTCCACGGGACCCTCCACGGGACCCTCCACGGGACTCTTCACGGGACCCTCCACGGGACCCTCCACGTGACTCTCCACGGGACTCTCCACGAGACTCTCCACGGGATTCTTCACCGGACCCTCCACGGGACTCTCCACGGGACTCTCCACGGGACTCTTCAGGAGACTCTCCAGGAGACTCTCCACGGGATTCTTCACCGGACCCTCCACGGGACCTTCCACGGGACCCTTCACGGGACCCTCCACGTGACTCTCCACGGAACTCTCCACGTGACTCTCCACGGGACTCTCCACGAGACTCTCCACGGGAGTCTTCACGGGACCCTCCACGTGACTCTCCACGGGACTCTTCACGGGACCCTCCACGAGACTCTCCACGGGACCCTCCACGAGACTCTCCACTGGACTCTCCACGGGACTCTCCACGGAACTCTCCACGGGACCCTCCACGTGACTCTCCACGGGACTCTCCACGGGACTCTCCACGGGACTCTCCAGGAGACTCTCCACGGGACTCTCCACGGGACCCTTCACGGGACTCTCCACGGGACTCTCCACGGGACTCTCCACGTGACTCTCCACGAGACTCTCCACGGGACCCTTCACGGGACTCTCCACGGGACTCTCCACGGGACTCGGCGGAGCCATGTTCGGCAGCGGGCGTTCTCTGGGGCAGAGCCCGGCGCGCTCCCCGCGGCTGCCGCGGTCTCCCCGCCTCGGCCACCGCCGCGCGGGGAGCACTGGGGACGGGGCGGGCTCGGGCCGCACCCTCTCCATGGAGAACATCCAGTCGCTCAACGCGGCCTACGCCACCTCGGGGCCCATGTACCTGGGCGAACACGACATGACGGGCCTGCACGCTTCGCCGTTGCCCGTGAAGAGCGTCGTGACGCTGGGCCGAGGGCCCGGAGCGCTCCAGGCGCGCCTCTCGTACGGCGGCCGCGTCACCACCATGGGCAGCAGCCCCAACATCGCGGCGGCCAGCGGGCAGGTGGGCCAGATGCGAGCCAGGTGTGTGTGGTGGGACAGGTGAGGGTGAGTGGGCTGGGTGTGTGTGGGTGGGACAGGTGAGGGTGAGTGGGCTGGGTGTGTGTGGGTGGGACAGGTGAGGGTGATGGGGCTGGGTGTGTGTGGGTGGCACAGGTGAGGGTGAGTGGTCTGGGTGTGTGTGGTGAGACAGGTGAGGGTGAGTGGGCTGGGTGTGTGTGGGTGGAACAGGTGAGGGTGAGGGGGCTGCGTGTGTGTGGGTGGGACAGGTGAGGGTGAGTGGGCTGGGTGTGTGTGGGTGGGACAGGTGAGGGTGAGTGGGCTGGGTGTGTGTGGGTGGGACAGGTGAGAGTGAAGGGGCTGGGTGTGTGTGGGTGGGACAGGTGAGGGTGAGTGGGCTGGGTGTGTGTGGGTGGGACAGGTGAGAGTGAGGGGGCTGGGTGTGTGTGGGTGGGACAGGTGAGGGTGAGTGGTCTGGGTGTGTGTGGGACAGGTGAGGGTGAGTGGGCTGGGTGTGTGTGGGTGGGATAGGTGAGGGTGAGTGGGCCGGGTGTGTGTGGGTGGGACAGGGGTGGGTGAGTGGGCCTGGTGCCCACTCATCCAAATATTGTTGAGTTTTTATGAAACAAGTGGGAGGAAACCAGAGCACTCGGAGAAGACACACGTGTGCAAGGGGGCAATACTCAATCCCCGTACAGATATAAACAGATGACGATTAGTTCAATTGCTGCACTGCCTTCTCCTGGCGAGCCAGGGTACGGTACCTCCTCGACGCCCGCTGGAAGGGACTTTTACATCATCTGTGCGGTGATCCACCAACCCTCACCTACACCGTTCCAGGCCAGGCGAATGATGAGAATAATCACCAGCAGTCCCCACGTCCCTTGCACGTGACAGTCCCTCCCTCCCTCCAGCCAGCAAAACTTGTTTATAACACGATCTCCGTGTGCAGGTGGAAGCTCTGCACGCAGCCCTTGGGGAGCTCGCGGGACCCGGAGGACTGGGACTGTCCATGCACCACCACCACCACCAGCAGCAGCAGCAGCACGTGGTCCGGCCGGGTGCGCAGGGCCAGCTGAAGGAGCTGCTGTGCGAGAACGAGGCTCTGAGACGAGAGCTGGACGCCAAGGACAACAAGCTGGGCTCCTCCATGAACTCCATCAAGACGTTCTGGAGCCCCGAGCTGAAGCGGGAGAGAGCGCTGCGCAAGGAGGAGGCGGCTCGCATCGCGATGCTCCGCGAGCAGCTACGGGTGGCTCAGGACGAGCACCAGGTGAGCACGGAGAGTGTGGATCAGAGGCAGAGATCCCCCACCCAGATAGCCCGCACAGATCCTTGGGGCGAGCGCTGCCAGGGAGTAGCGGCCGTCAAGGCCGCGCCATCGCACCGAGCGGTGGGACGGCGGTTGGCGCGCTGCGCTACGAACCCGACGATCCGAGTTCGATTCCCCGCTCGCGAACAAATGACAGTGGCACGCGCACACGCACGCAACAAAGATCCCCCGTGTAGCCTTAGACTGTTGTGGCAAGCGCTGTTAGCAAGCACCTATGCAGGCCGGCACGGCACGCAAAGGGATGGGTGGCCAGCACACAAAGGGACGGGTGGCCAGCGCGCATGCACACACAAGGAAGCGGTGTGGCCAGCAGCACCACGCCCGACCGCCTTTGTCTCCCCAGTGCTGATGTCTAAACGTCACATCTACAGACACACGAAGACACACACACACAGATGTAAACACGCGTACAGAGAGACGCACGGAGACACACGCAGGCGCAAAGGCCGCAGAGACCCTCCGGGGGTCCTGCACATCCCTGGCACGTGCCCCCCACCCCCGCCCCCCTCTTCTGCACCCCTCCCCTCGCCTCTATTTATAGAGCTCACTGCGCGCGCTCTCCCGACCCAATTATAGCGCGAGCATCCCCTCGGCTCCCCCCCCCCGCCCTTAACACCTCCCACCTCATCATCCATCCTGTGACGCCATCTCCCATCCTCTGACCCCCTCCCCCATCCTCGGAATGCCACCAACATCTTCTGCCCTTAAACGTCCCCGTATCTCCAACCCCTGAAACCCCCTCCACCACCTCGTCCACCCCGAACTCTCCCTCCCCCCGTCTCCCCCCACCACCCAACTACCCCCCCCCCCCTCCATCCTCACCCGCGGACCCCCATCCATGAGGTCCGCAAGTCCAGTGACACCAACGTCACCGCGTCTCGAGATGACTCCCTTCTGATGAGTCACACAAAGACAACCATGGGCGTGGTGCAGCCGGTAGTGAAGTATGGCCAATTAACGGCCAGCCGCTAGTTTGCTGTCTAATTGCGGGGTCTGTAAATCGTTGTTATTGTTGTTGTTATTGTCGCGGCTGTCTCGATTAAGGACGAATTAGCGCACGACGGGGTGGCCTGGCCACCCTCCTTGCCCCGGCCGGCTTTGTCTCCCCACTGTAGATGTTCACACATTTTCTCAAGGTTCTAATTTTAAGGCTGAGTCGACCTACGGGAGACATAGAACAAGCCTACATCTTCACCCCACACACACACATAAACACAACGCCCTACTCTGACCCCCATCATCATGAGTGCTGGAAGCATCGTGTATGCATTGTGTAAGCATTGTGTATGCATTGTGTAAGCATTGTGTATGCATTGTGTATGCAATACACGTGCACACTAGATAAAGGCGCAGCCGTGCAATTGCCAGCTCTCGCCCCTGCTGGCGGATGAGCCTGCACTGGATGGTCCCTCCAGTGAGTGCTTTGGCCGACTCCCCCAAACCATACCATGAGCGCGTGTGATGCTTTACATATTGTTTACCATATTCTCCGGATTATAAGACGCACCTCTCCCCCACACACGTATGTGAGAGCAAACGTTTGTGGGTGCGTCTTATAATCCGGTAGATGTGCGTGTTGCGTGTGACCAAATTTGTGTAACATTGACGCTGGGTTCATGTTTGGGGATGATGCTCCTGCTGCTTGGCTGTAGTGCAAAGCACAAACAACACATTCCGTGTCAACGACACTGCGACCTTAAAAGGAAATGTATAAAATAGACGACGTTTCGGGCAATGGACCTCCTTCCTTCGTAATCCTGAGAGGGCAGAGGTAGCAACACTTGAGCACAGCGCAACACTGCCATCTGCTGTACAATGCTGGGTACTGCACCATATCCAGCACGGTGCATCATCATCCATCGGTTGATCCACTAAGAATGAATCGACTCTAGAGATCGCGACACGCGGAGCGAATCGCGTGCGTGAGGAATAAGGATTTGATGTCTTATGATTTGTGCGCGTTGGACGTGATTTGTTCACGTGACGATGATGCTGATGATGATGCTGACGATGATGACGGTAATAACAGTGAAGTCGACGGTGACGCTGATGACGCTGACCCTGATGATGTTGATGCTTCTACATTTGAAGTTTTCGTGACTGCAATGATCCATACTCTTTGGTTCTTTCGGTAAAGCCACGTAGGTAAAAAAATAAAAAATAATAAAGTTAATCAAATCATGACGTTCCGGGCGCAACACAAGCGTCCGTCATCATGTGTGTACAACCGCAGCAAGAAACGACTACTTCAGCAGTTACTTCTTGCTGTGGTTGTACACACATGATGACGATGTCGATGCCGTGTGTGTGTGTGTGCGCAGACCATGCAGATGACAGTGCACGCCTTGCAGGAGGAGCTCCGCTGCTCGCGCGACCTCACGCCGCTCTTCTCGGCGGACGGACGCGCGCGCTGCTCGGGTCCCGGCGGGAGGTGAGACTCACCTGGCCCCCACCCCCCAGGCCCCGAACTCACTTGGCCCCCCACCCCCCACCCCCCAGGCCCCGAACTCACCTGGCCCCCCACCCCCCAGGCCCCGAACTCACCTGGGCACACAGTCGCAACGCGTGAGACACGAGCCGTGTGTGTGCGTGTGTACGCACAGGTGCTCGCTAACAGCACTTGCCCCAACGGTCTAGCGAGGCTATACGGGGGATCTTTGTATTTGTGTACGCATGGCATATGTATGCAGGGAGCGGTGGCGCAGCGGTTTGCGCGCCGCGCTACAAATGTGCGTGTGTTAAACTTACTTCGCACCGTACGTAGCCAACCGTTGCTCATCGGATGAGGTGCAGGGACACGAATCCGGCGACCCGAGTTCGATTCCCACTCACGACGAACACCTGTAACGATGATCTGAACCGATGCTGGGCCTCCCCTAGGTCGACTAAGCCTCAAATGAGTGCCTGGTGCGGTGTGTAAACATCGCCAATAGGGAGACAAAGGCGGCCGGGTGTGGTGCTGGCCACCACCCCCTCGCGCCCCGTGCCAGCCTTCAATTGGTGCTCGCTAACAGCACTTGCTCCAAAAGTCTGTTTAGGCTATATGGGGGATCTTTGTCTTGTTTATACGCATGGCACCTGAGCACATCCTAACGCACCTGCGAACCCCTGCGGGACGTGAAGGCACCTGGGAAGCATCTGATGACGCGTGCCCATGCCACGCTTGGACACCTGTGAACACGCCAGACACACCTGTGAGCTCTTGAGAGTACCTGGCCACGCGTGGTCGCACCTGAAACCATACGGACGCAGCGGACTGCACCTGGACACAACGATGCACCTGACGGCTCCCCACCAATGCCACCCCACCAGCACTCGCCGTAACGTCTCCCCCTGCCCCCGCCTCCCCAATGTTACCGCCAGCCTTTCCCCCGTGACTGCCACCGCCTCCGTGATTTCCCCACGTGACCAACTCTCCCGTGACTGCCACCGCCTCCGTGATTTCCCCACGTGACCAACTCTCCCGTGACTGCCACCGCCTCCGTGATTTCCCCACGTGACCAACTCTCCCGTGACTGCCACCGCCTCCGTGATTTCCCCACGTGACCAACTCCCCCGTGACCGCCTCCGTGATTTCCCCACGTGACCAACTCCCCGTGACCGCCTCCGTGATTTCCCCACGTGACCAACTCCCCCGTCTTCTCCCCTCCTGTCACGACTGCCCCCCCCTTCCGTGACTCCCTGCGCCTGCGTGTGACTGCCACTGCCGTCCGTGACTGCCTGGCCCCAGCGCGGGGGACCTGCCCTCGGAGGAGAGCGTGCAGAGGCTGCGAGCCGAGCACGAGCGCCAGGCCAAGGAGCTCTACCTGCTGCGTCAGACCCTGGAGGAGATGGAGCTGCGAATCGAGACGCAGAAGCAGACCCTGGGATCGCGCGACGAATCCATCCGCAAGCTGCTCGACATGATCCAGGAGGGGGGAGGGGTTCGCTCCGGAGGGGGGTCCTCGGGGGTCGGCGTGGACCCCCTCTGCGACGAGGGGGACGGCGGCACCACCGAGGGGGAGGAACGGGCGCGGCACCAGCTGGCGGACGCGGACGCGCAGATCTCTCGCCTCCAGCTAATGCTGGAGCAGCGGGAGAGGGAGAACCAGCAGTGCCGAGAGGTGGGGCTTGGGCGGAGGGGGGGGGGCATGGGTCACCCACTATCACCACGACCTCCGACCCCAACCTCGGTGGAAGGAATGATGGAGGGCGTGATGGAGAGGGTGATGGAGAGGGTGATTGTGGTGTAGACGATGTAGGAGGGTGTGTGATGATCATCCTCGCCTGCCATCACCACCTCCACCACCAGGAAATCTCTCCCCAGCAGTGCGGGGCCGAATCGCACCACGAGGGGGCGCCATCGCCCCACGTGGTGCGCGCCAAGCGGCTGATTTCTGGCACATCACGGGGATTCATTGAGGCGGTTCACGATTAAAATGGGATACAGGGGGCCCTTTGGGGGGGGGGAAGTCGGGGAGGGGGGGTGGGGGCAGGTGGCGGGGTGTCCAAATACAACGCACAAAGATCCTCCATATAGGCCGATACGACACACGAGGGGGTAGGTCGTCAGCACCACGCCGTTCCGCCTTTGTCTCCCCAGTGACGATGTTTACACACACGGCACCAGGTGCTCATTTGAGGCTGAGTTGACCTAAGGGAGGCCCAGAATCGGTTCATATGCTCGTCATCCGGTGTTGGCCATGAACGGGAACACAGCTCGGTTCGCCGGATTCGTCACGTGGTGCTAAGCGCTGCGCATCCACTCCCTGCTCACCGTTTTATTGTGAGCCCCCTCTCTCGGCACCCATCGCAGCCCCCCCCCCGCATTAGAGCCCCCTCTCGCTCCCCCATCCTCTCCACGCACCGCGTTCTCTAATGAGAGAATCAGAGAATGTGACGGGGGAGGATTTCACACGGGGGGGGGGGGTCCCTTTGTAACGGGGACCCCACTGCGAATGCCCCGGATGTCGCACTAGGGGTTAGTGAGGGGGGTAGAGAAGGGGATGACCCCCCCCCCCCCACCACGGGGACCCCCACGCACGACGTCACTCCGCTCACCGTGACGGCGGTGGCGATGGTCGCGGCGTTCTGGAGACGAGAATTGGTGGATCACGCAGAGATCAGTGAAACTGCTAAACCCTCCTTGGCTCAGGTAGAGAGAGAGACGAGCACCAGAGATCGGAACAGCAAGTGGGTGCGTGTACACGACTTCTGGCGATGTTACAATGATGTCCCACGCATGCATGGGGGTACTCTCCGGGAATTCGTCTATACTCCGATACCCCCCTTGAATTGCCAGCTGCAACCCCCTCACGCCCCCTCACCTACCAACCACACCTACCCCCTAAAGCACCCCAACCCCCTCACACTCCACAACCTCCACCCCCTCACACCCCCATTCCTAACCCCCTCTCGCACATCAATAATGCAGGATGGGAGTTGGGTTGCGACGGGGAGTGGAGGTCTCCCTCGTGACGCTGTGCGCCTTGTGCTGAGGGGGTCGAGCTGAGCGGTTAGGGGTGAGGGATAAGGGGACACACAGACACACTGGTACACACACACACTGGTACACACAGACACACTGGTACACACAGACACACTGGTACACACATACACACTGGTACACACATACACACACTGGTACACACACAAACACTGGTACACACATACACACACTGGTACACACACAACAACAACAACAACAACCGCCATTCGCCACTAAGTGGCGGTGACGTCACCACGATGCTTGTGCCAGGCTATGTGCACCCTGAGGCCACGTGAAGTGTCGAACGCCCGCTGGCAGGAGGTCACGGGGCAGACCCAGCAGGTGCCACAGGTCGACTGACTAAGATGACTGGCTGATGCACCACCTGTGCCCCCTACTGTGCCAACCTGCTGTGCTTTAACCACCCGGCGCTCCGCTCGTTGTTGTGAGCGTCGCTCCTCCGCCCTCCGTTGTTGTTGGAGGGCGACTGCCTCCAACGGCCCAGTAGCGTCCTTCACGAGCCTCCTCCACAGAGGCCGATCTTGACACCGCTGGTACCAGTCATCGGCAAGTCCACTCAGCTCCACGTCCTCCTGTACCACATCACTCCATCTCTTCTCTAGCCCGTGCCGCGCCCGCTTAGCCCTCTCGATCCGGCCGAACAAAAGCTGTTTCGGCATGCGGTGGCTGGGCATGCGGGCTACATGACCCAGCCATTGCAGCCTTCCCCGCCGGAGGAGCTCACCGATGGGACCTTGCCCAGATCTTTCAAGGATTTGTGAGCTCCTCACACAATCCAGTCTGGTTAAACCCAGGATGGATCGTAGGCAGGCCAGCCTAAATGTTTCTAACCGGCGAAGATGTTCCATTAGGGGGGTCCACGTTTCGCAAGCGTAGAGAAGGGAGGGAATGACCGTGGCCGAGAAGACCTGAAGCTTAGTGCGGAGCGACAGACCAGGTAGCTTCCACACAGCGTTACGCAACCGATGAAAAGATATTGCCGCTCGACTGATTCGGAGTGAGACCTCTGCTGTTAAACTGGAGCCAGTCATAAGCACACTGCCCAGGAATGGGAAACTCTTCACTCTCTCCACAACTGCCCCATCACCGATTGGGAGTTGTGGGGGTGAAGTGTCCGATGGTACAAAATACCCAGGCAGGTGCTTAGTTTTGGTGGGGCTGATGGTAAGGCCCCACCTCTTAGTGGCACGCTCCAGTCTCAGCAGCAGCGGCTCCAACTCCTCCTCCGAATGAGCAGCTATTACCAAATCATCGGCATACATAACGTGGTTGAGCAATTGGGAGCCATCCCTTGACCGCACCCAGGCATCGATCAGCCTCCCATTATATCTGTACCATATGGAGATTCCCCCGGTACAGCTATTGAAGGCTTCACGAACTACGTGGTCAAAATAGATGTTAAATAATGTGGGAGCCAGAGGACATCCCTGTCGCACCCCAAGGTGTACAGGGAATGGCTCTGACTCCCGGCCACGTAGTTTTACCCGGGCTCGCTCACCATCATGAAGGTCCTTAATGATCGTGAGCAGAGGGTCAGGTACTCCAAAAGCACGAAGAACAACCCAGAGCCCAGGCCTACTGATGGTATCATAGGCCTTGACCAGGTCAATAAAGCAGAGATGTAGGTCTTGTTGGAACTCCCTACACCTCTGCTGTAGCAGACGGACAGAAAATATGGCATCTGTGCAGGACCGCCCTTTCCTGAAACCGCATTGGGGCTCCGCAAGCCTCTCCTCAGCGTGCCTGGCAAGGCGATGCTGAATAATCCTTGCCAGGACCTTTCCCGGCACACTGAGGAGTGAGATGCCCCTGTAGTTGTTACAGTCTGTGCGGTCCCCCTTCTTAAAAGGAGGACCACCAGGGCATCCTTCCAATCCTGCAGAACCCGTCCAGTGGTCCAGACCGTTGTTATGATGTCATATAGGGCAGTCTGTGCACAAACGCCACCCTCCCTCAGCACCTCGCTTGGGAGATCATCTCTGCCCGCTGCCTTTCCTGGTCTCAGACTCCGGATCGCCTTCAGTACTTCCTCAACAGATGGCACCTCAGCCAGCCACTTACAGGGGGTGACTTCTTCCAATATTTGAGGCACCGCAGCCTCAGCAGGGTCATCCTCACTTTGTGCCACGATGTTTTCCTGGCTGAGGGGTTTTCCCTCCCCCAGGACCTCACAGAAATGCTCAGCAAATCTGCAAACCTGTTGCTGGGGGTCGGAGATTGGATCACCGTTTTTTCCCCTAATTATGGTAATAGGTGTGGCGCTGCAGGTTACTTTTTTGATGGAGTTAAATAGAGATTTGTGATCACGGGCCACTGAGGCAGACTCCATCTCCTCAGCAACCGGCGACCACCACCCATCCTTGCAGCGCCTCACGGCTCTCCGAACCTCCGAGCGAAGGCTGCGGTAAGCCTCCTGATTCTCTGACGTGGGATTCTGTAGCCGATGACAGTGGGCCTGTCGCTTTTTCTCAACCATCCTGAACACCTCCTCTGTCAGCCAGGGTCTCTGGGGAGGTCTGGACCGCGTACCCAAAGCAGCCATTGCAGCTGCATGAGTCACAGTCCTAAACCTCGCCCATTTACCCTCGACATCAGGAGGAGTCGGGGACGATGCCAATCCCAGCCGCAAGCGATGATGAAATTCTCGCTTGCAACTTTCACACACACTGGTACACACACACACACTGGTACACACACACACTGGTACACACACACACACTGGTACACACACACACACTGGTACACCCATACACACTGGTACACACATACACACTGGTACACACATACACACTGGTACACACACACACTGGCACACACACTGGCACACACACACACACTGGTACGCACACAAAGATCCCCCGTGTAGCCTAACAGACTGTAGGAGCAAGTGTTGTTAGCGAGCACCTATGAAGGCCGGCACGGCACACGATGGGGTGGGTGGCCAGCACCACGCCCGGCCGCCTTTGTCTCCCTAGTGGCGATGTTTACACACCGCATCAGGTACTCATTTGAGGCTGAGTCGACACGCACGCCGGTACACACACACGATTACGTAACACATACGCCGCTTACATAACACATCCTAGACATCAACAGCCGCAATTTGCCACTAAGTGGTGGCGACGTCACCACAGCCCTTGTGCCAGGCTAGGTGCACTTCGATCTCGTCACGTGAAGTGTGCAAGGCTCGCTACGAACACGAGGAGGTCACGTGACAGACCCGGCAGGTGCCGTGGGTTGACTGGCTGAGATAACGGGCAGGTGCACCACCTGTGCTCCCCACTGTTTCACCTTGCCGTCGTTTATCCACCTGCTGTTTTGCTCGTTGTTGTGAGCGTCGCTCCTCCGCCCGCGCTGTTTATTGGTGGGCGACTGCCTCCCAATTGCCCAGTAGCAGCGTCCTTCCCGAGCCTCCTCCGCAGAGGTCGATCTTGACACCGCTCGTACCGGTCATCGGAATGTCCATTCAGCTCCACATCCTCCTGTACAGCATCAGCTCCATCTCTTCTCTAGCTCGTGCCGCGCCCGTTTAGCCCCCCCCCCCCCCCCCTAAACGGAAGCTGCTTGGGCATGCGGTGGCTGGGCATCCGGTCTATACGACACAGCTAACGTAGT